ACCAGCAGGAAGTAGTATGTGAAGCTATGCCCAAATTTCCAAAATATTATTTATAAATGTTTATTTTTATTTAAGGGGGTTGATTATATATGCAATTGCTTTCTAAAGAAAAGGGGATAATATAGATATGATAGGATAAAAGGGTAGATTATTGAATCTACTTTTAAAGAGCAACGACTTGTTTGAAATGTTTTACATTACTATGGATTTTAGTTTATTGATACAAATTTAAAGTTAAATTTGTTATACTGTATATATTTCTACTCTTGTTTAAGGTATTATGTTTATGCAACTCATTTAAAACTGTAATATATAATTAAGAACTACAGATTAATAATCAGTCATCTATGATAATCAAACTTATAATCATGTTAATTAAGTTTTCTAGGTATACATAGATATATTTTAATTAGGTAGATAATCTTCAAACACTTAAAAGACCTATAGAATATGGCATTTAAAATGTTTTAAAAACTTAGACATTTCTGGACAATGAGACACTTCTGCTCCTGGCAGCAACAATTACTTCAAAGAGGATGATGGGTATCAAAGAAACTCCATATGGAGTTTGCTTTCTTTATGGCAAAAATAGCCATTTGGGCAAGAAGCTGTTCTTGCCTGGAATGCTTGGTAATATGCTGTATAAGCTGGACATACAGGACCCATAGGGAAATGACCACTGAATTTTGCCAAACCGAGGCAAAATGGTCCTTCAGGTTCCTGCTTCATAGACTGCCAGATATTCTATGAGACACAGGGAAAAGTGACTGAGAGACTCTAGGCCTATAGATTGAAGATGGATGCCCCAATGTTGCAGAGGAACTTTGGATGACTGTCCAGGTAGCCAGCTGTCTCTGTCATTTCTAGAATTATAAAGTTGCTTGCAATGTACTTCCTGTTTATTCAGGTAATATTATATCCTTCTGGGTTCTTTGATATAGTTGAAGACTAGATAGATATAATTTTCATTGGTTATAATAAAAGATAAATTAGATATGCAACTTTAGACTCACAAATACAGGATAGAAGATAGAATATTTTCTTTAAATTTGCCAAATACAAATAGACTAGATATTGTAACTGTCATTCTTGCTTGATAATTGTTTTATTATATGTAATTTTACTGTGTTAAAGTTAAAATCTTCCTTTTTGATTGGACAGAAATAGGGAAGTGCTGTGGGATATCTTTCTGTATGATGTGAATATATGTTGCTCTGATTGGCTGATAAATATGGCTGCATTGGCCTATGACAGGGCAGAATAAGGTAAGGAGGTACATGGAGTCAGGGAAAATGCCAGCCTTCTGTGGAAGAGCAACAAGGTGCCAGCAGACAGGTAATGCCATGCACATGTGGCAACATATAGATTAATAGAAATGGGTTAAGTTAAAAGAGCTAGCTAGCAAGGAGCCTGACCCATAGGCCATATAATTTGCAATTAATATTAAGCTTCTGAGTGATTATTTTATAAGTGGCTGCAGGACCATGGAGCCAGGCTATATCACAGAAACATGGGATTGTGGGACTGGAGAAACTTCTGGCTACAGAGAAAGGAATATAAGGCAGGAAGAGACAGGAATTCACACTCTTGCTGAGGCTCTGTAGGGTGAGGAGTTGGTGAGGTTAAAGGTGGTAGTTGTGGCTTGCTCTGTTTCTCTGATCTTTCAGCTTTCACCCTGATATCTGGCTCTGGGATTTTATTATACTACCACTTAGGATTCGTACATCATATGGCACCCAACGTGGGACATGAATTCATGAAAAAGCCTTATGCCTGTGGCTTTGCAACCACCAGGTCAGGCCAGAGCTGCACATGGCCGGAGTCTCCACCCAATCTGGGCCAGAGTCTTTACCCCACCTGCTAAGTTTTTGTTGCCACCCCCTCTGCCGCAAACTCCATAGGTTTTTGGGCTCCACAAACCACAGGAGTTAGCCAGTTTTGCACATTCCTCGGTTCAGACAGCTGACTCCACAGGCACAGGCACAAGCCCAGACCCAGGCACAAGTACAGGTCCAGGATCAGGCTCCAAACACGCCCAGATTAGCTGCTTTTGCATGTTCCCCTGGGCAGACTGTTGGCTCTTTGGCTTTTCCATTCTCCCAGTGGGTCATGGCTTTCTCTGGGCTCCCTCCTCAGGCTGCTTCCACATCATCATCTGAATTGTCATTGTCAGCAGATTTGGTGAATCAATTGGGATTTCTTAAAGGGAGAAATTAGTTAAGAGAGAGTTTTTTTTCCCCCACATTAAAAAAAAAAAAAAACGGGAAACAATATTACAATGGAAGGAGTTTGGTTTCTGTTTGATAGTACACTAGATGGTCTGAAAATGGAACAATTAAATGAGAGGAAAATTAACTTAGATGGGATTGATGTAATGTCAATAATAAACATTATCAGTTTGATCATTCTTGTTTTCTTCCTAAAAAAGTTGGTTTATATGAATGCCAAGTTGGTTAATATGAGTGTCAAGATACAAGTCTTAGAAAAACTTATTAAAATAGATCATAAAGATATTCAGACTCGGCACATGCGCTGCGTCCTCTCATAAAAGGTGGGTCCCGAGACCACTTCCTATTGCCTGCAAGTTGAAATATAGGGCACTTAGCTACTTTTCCAGCACCATGTCCCACGATGATGCTAATGGACTAAACCTCTGAAAATGCATTAAGAAAAGAAATTTCGGGCGGAGACAAGCAGACGCAGGTAGGCCTGTGGTGGCAGCCCGCAGAGGTAGACGGGCCCGGCGGCAGCTGGCAGAGACATTCAGGCCCAGCGGCGGCCCACAGAGGTGGACAGGCCCTGTGGCGGAGATAAGCAGACGGAGGTGGACAGGCCCGGCAGCGGCGGCCGACAGAGACATTCAGGCCCGGCAGTGGCCCACAGAAGTAGACAGGCCACGAGGCAGAGACAGGCGGACGCAGGTCAGCGACCAGCGGAGGTAGACGGGCCAGGTGGCAGCGGCCCACAGGGACATACAGGCCCAGCGGCAACTGGCAGAGACATACAGGCCCGGTGGCGGCCCGCAGAGGTGGATGGGCCCGGCGGCAGTGACAAGCAGAGGTAGGTAGCCCCGCAGCAGCAGCCGGCAGAGTCATACAGGCCCATTGGCCGCCCGCAGAGGTAGACAGACCCAGCGGCAGCTGACAGGGACATACAGGCCTGGCGGTGGAGACAAGTGGACGCAGGTGGGCCTGTGGCGGCAGGCCACAGGGGTGGACAGGCCCGGGGACGGAGACGGGCAGACGCAGCTTGGAACGGGGACGCCCCTAGCCCCAACACCTGGGGAAGAGGCTATCTCCGTGGGTCGGAACCAGGGCGAGTCTGGGCACTCCATCTGGGGACAACCCAGGGCCCAACTGCTGATCCTGTGAAACCCAACAACTTGGAGGTGTTGGTGAGACTACCCTGCTCAGCTGAAACCCATCTGGGAGAGG